ATCAAGCGATTAAATAATATTGCAAATATTGCTGGTATTGCGATAAATAATTTAAATCCTACAAAATTGGAAAAATTTCAACTTTTACAATATAAGTCAAATTTACCAAGCTATTACACAATATTGTACATATTACACATATTGCAATAACAATCCTGCAAAATAATCCTGCAAAATTAGAAAAGTTTCAATCTTTACAATGCAAGTCAAATTAATCAAACTATTACATGTCTTGATATTGAAAATTAAAGATTAACATTGAAACGATCGGATAGCATATTGTTTATAGAAAATTGAAATTCTTCGCATCAGTTATGAGGCAGAAGAGTGCTCGCAAAAGCTAATAGAAAATAGAAAGTAAAAATTAAAACAGTAACCAACGCGAGATTAAAAATTGTGTAAACAAATTCTGCCCTTGCGCGGAATACAAATCTGCTGCATCCGTTGCAAGAAACATGAGCCAGACAAGAATTTCATACCTCTCCGACGATCTTAAAGAAAACGCAACATCGTTATTCATGAATTACTATTTCCGTGTGCGAATTTCTTTTATTCAGCTGCGAAAGGGATCGATTTGTTATTTACAGAACCACGCGGCTTAATTCTTCGGGAACATCTCCGTAGAATTTTAAACGCGAATTCATAATACCAACGAAGTTGCCGACTACTGAAAGCGTATGTTGCTTGGTAAAGCCGAGTTGTAACTTCGATTTTATGCATTTATGATAAAGACGACTATGTGAAGTATAAAGTAGCTGGAAGTTCCGGGGATTCTGGAATTTCGTAAGTTCTGGAGTGTACAGCAACGATTGTTAATTCACCGCATGCGTTTGTCGAGCATGGTTTTCAGATCTTAATAAAATATATTAATAGAAAGATAAAATGAATTTTACGATTTTCACGAATTACGGTACTCAATGGTAATCGTTAATTTTGTACAAGCTTTATTTAAAATTTGCACATTGCAAAAATCTTAAACACTGATTTCTTAAGATTTTCATTAGTAAAACGCATGTTTTATTTGTCTCTTATAAAAATAATCGATAATTAAACTAAAATGAATTCTGAATGAAACGATGATTAAACGGCACGTAAATTACATTACAAAATTATTTTAAAGAGTGCAATGTAAGACGTCGGTGTTCATCAATTTTTTCAATCTTTCAATTGTTTCAACTTCCACGTATTTATTTTTATAGTAAAAGCACAATGTTTCATTTCTCGTTTGTGCGAATTTTCGTGTAATTATCTCTTCTTTGTGCACCACAATGCACTTTTGAAGAAGAATTTGGACAAATCGCATTTTAGACAAGAATTGATGCGCTTCGGTCGAAACGTTCACTTTAAAAAAGAATTTATGCTTTTTGAACAATCGATGCATTTTTAATAGAATTTATCTATTTCGAACAGGGAGATTGTTGCAATTTGGGAAAATATTTATGCATATGTTATTATGCATATTATTTATGCATATTATATATATTATTTATGCATATTATATATATTATTATTTATTGTTATTTATTATTTATATATTGTTATTTGTGCATATTATATATATGTTCAGACAAAAATTTATGCATTTTGAATAAGACTTTGTGCATCTCGAACAAACATTTACGCATTTCGAACAAGAATTTATGCATTCTTGAGCAACACTTTATGCATTTTTGACAAATAATTTATGTACCTGAACAAATTTATGTACCAAAAAATTCATGCATTTTGAACAAGAACAAATGCACTTCGGCCAAAACAATCATTCACATCGAACAATAATTCATGCACTTTGAACAGCAATTTATACACTCCATCGTTCCTCCATAAAAGTACAATAATTTAAAACTAAAATCACAACAGTTACAGTTTTTTTTTTTAAACAGGATAACTACGCACCATATCATTGCTATCGCGCAGCGGTATGAGAATGGAGGACGCGAGCACTACAATAACATTAGCGCACGCACTTCTTTCCTCTCGAATGACTTCCATGCAAGCTTCCAGAACAACACAGAGAATGCATCTGGACTACTGCCAGCAGTGTTCGTTAAGATACGATTTTAATCAACGGGGATTTATGCGTTTGACGCTGATTTTTCTGTCGGCATTACTCTCTCGAATTTGTTTCGCGTGACGTCGCGACCCGAGCATTTCAAAAATTAAAGGGGCGGTGTGTTTTTAGATTAACAGCCTTAATCCCCAGATACGGCGGTATTAATTATACGGCGGATGGGGCTCTTGTTTGCCCGATTTTTATTTCTTGGTATCCTTCTAGAAACGCGGCGAATTTTTAAGCAGCTTGGCGATGCACATTTAATCTTCGGATAAAATTTTAATCTGGATTTTCAGATTTGTG